ACGTTTCTTGACCAACTCAGCATGCTGTTGTTCAACACCACTTTTAATTATCTCTCTCGCTGAGCATCTAAAGGCATCAGAAATGTCGCTGCAAATATCTGCGGTAGAAAGAAGAAATGGATTTCAACAGGCCTCAATTAAGAGAGTTGTCCCTTAACGTGTCCTACCAAGCAGCGCACTTCGGCGACAGGATGAGCCGGGAAGTCTATAAATACGTTCTCTACCCCCGGAAATTTGCTCTTCAATTTGTTCATTTGACTACGAAAAGTCAAGTAGGCTTGTGTCTGAGTCACTTGAGAAGTTCTCCACCTTTGACCCAGTACTGAATTCCACTGTACTGACATTTATGGAATACATCGTGGATAAGCAAGCTAGACAGTGCCTGTGAGAGATACAGGTATGATTCCCACCAGATGCACTGCCATTCACCCCAGCTAATTAAAGAGACAAGACTTAGGCTGGCGGGCCCAAGTGTCTATGCGAAGATGCCTACGTCACAGCAGCCGACTGATCCCATCTACTGTACAGACGTCTTCCCAAGAGACAGTGCGAACATCCGTGTCGCAGGTATGTGATTCTCAGCCTGACTTGCCCAAATTCTACTGATCATGCAGACGATGCGATTTCAATAGAACCGAGGACAATTGACCACAATACACGAGCGCAAGAGTCACAGCTCTTTACCGTCTTTTCGTCCCTAGTCTTGGCCACCAGAGCATGTGAGTCATGGATTATGTCGCCGATCTACAAGCCAATGAACGATAGTGAACATCGACATGGCACCAGAAGTCCCCGAGGATACAATACCCCCGTTAGTGCTCTGCACAAAGCCACTGCCTACACACTATTCATGGCCCCGTCGCATCAAATCACGCAGCAAAGAATCAGGTGAAGAAGGAACGGGCTAATAACAGGTGCGGATATCCGATCGCGAATTCGCTGCGCAGAAGCTTGAGACGTCCATTCTTCATGGCATTGTGAGTGATTTATCGCATCCTCTGCTGCGCTATATCAGTTGTTGCGAATTTTTGTGCTCCAAATCACCAATACCATTACGGATTTTTATGCCACTGTTAGGAGCAGCCATCGCCACTGTGAAAGATACCCGTTGGGAGTCCTATCGCCGGATCGGAGATAAGACCACGTCACTACGACGCGTGCTCCACTGTGTCTTCCGCGACTCCCGCCCTCGACCTCACCGCCTTACATTGAACGGCGGAGTGCATGAACCTCATGCCGTCCGCATCGCGAGGTCTTATTCCATTACGACTAAACAACTTCCTGTCACAGGTGATTCGTCACGCATTTTTGGCTCTCAGAAGTTGTCCAGCACCCAGCGCGGCTTCTTCGAAGCGACAGCCGGGGAGTGCGATGAACTGGATACAACATCACGTCAATATGGCATGAATGGTGACTGCATTGATGGAGACAACTGTAAGTGATCTCGTCGGTAAGATATGACCACGAAGCCAATTGATCGTCTCGTCTCAAGCGAACATTCTGCGAAATCAATGAACAGATAAGTCATAACAATTCGTCCAAGTAGTTCAAGCCTTGCTGACTTGGATCGTACAACAGGACACCCCTCGTATTGCCGTCACTCGATTGTGAAGGGCGTTTTGGAAGCAACGACCGGAGAGAAAGATACAACGCTGATCAAATTGGAAGAAGAACTCTAATTCGGATATAGACCGAAGCGGGTTAGCATCGTTTGGCTTACGCGTTTTTCATTTGTGGGAATCTACTCCCGAGATCTTAGTATCTCATTCATCGGCATGAAACTCCAAAAGCACCCCCGCCGTCTAGCATGGCGAAAGTAAGCGACTGGTAGTGAACTGACCGTGAAGCCTGTGATTAATATCGGCGTTGAAAGTGGGAATTGTGATGGATCACTAACTTCTTCCCTATTACGACTGTCATCCGTGGTTTCTGACGAGGTTGCCGAATTATTTCTGCTTGCTGCACTTTGTCTTATACTTTATTTCATTCTATGCAAGACTTTGAATTCTTATTGCTGATATCATTCATGACCTGGTAGTCTCATCATTTGTCTGTTCTGTGGAACTTGCCAGTTTACCGCAGCTAAAGCCGAGCCTGCAAGCCGATACGCCGCTCAAAAAACAGGCAAAAGGGCATGACCTCTTTGAAGACATACTCGTCATCAAAAACACCTGGAATGCGCTCTGAGCGCGTGTCTCGATCTTTGTTCATCCCCGCAACCGCTCCATCGAAATCTGACTTAATACGATGTTCTCGATGCCGGCAGGGTTTCTGTTTAGCCACGAACGCAAGGCACATCGCCATTCAATTCAGCTTGAATTCTTACTATTGCAAGCCGTGTTCCTGTCTAGTGGGTTTTACGTACGTGGACGCTGTTTACGTGTGTTCTTGTTATGAAACTTTCTCCGTGTAGCATAAACATCACGTACAGCCAAGGAACACGAACATGAATCAGAGATAATGCTAACGTTTTGCTCTTGGCCAGAACTCGATGGAAACGGCCGTCGTAGCCGGCTTACCTTGAGTCTGTCAATACAACCGATACGTCACGGCATCATACATGCAGCCCATATTGGCTATTTGCAAGGGCACGATTACTAGGTAGTGCCATTCTATGGACCTACTGGATGCATCAACATCGATATTTTTGCCATTTGCTCGATCATACTCCCCGGTGTAAATTGTCAATATTTGTTTGTCTTCATGCGAACCACCCGTGGTGGTCCATTGCGCAAATGCTCACTCGAACTCTTGTGCTCATGATCCCAATGTTAGCAAATAATGGAAACGTTGTTGATAGGGAAAAAAGAGTGCTTTGGTTATTGATCTCTTTTGGTTTTACCTCCACCTAAATGTTTTATGGGTTAACTCCTCATAAAGTCCCTGCGATCCTCCGTGCCCTTCACCCTTGCTACGCTTCGCTGAAAATAGGCAACTACAACGCCCTAAAATTTAAACAACATGGCAAGTGGACTGAGCTCTTTTGACAGATCGCATACTGGGAGACTGTGTACTGCTTCGCTCTTTTATGCTCGGGGATGGTTTGTGTCCAATATGGCAAATGAAAAAGTGGGGCACTCTTCCTTAACAAAAGAGTTGACTACTATTGCAGATCAAATCTAAAATTTGGTCCGGTGCTGACTTCCGACAAATCAACTATCCTTTTTGGCCCGCCCAGACTGTTACACATCGGCTCAGGCAGTCGGTTCCGAGCTACTGACGGATTCCGGACGATCGACGTGATTGATACGTCTCCCCGAATTCAAGGCAACGCTGTGATTGTTGGTGATTTTGCGAAAGATAAGCACTATTCGACTTGGTTGAGAAATAATTGAGATTTATTAACGCGCCGTGTACAATCTTAACAAGCAGGCGGTCAACCCCCTCCTGGATGGCAAAACGAGAACGCTACTTCAATCACCCATCTTCTTTTTAAACTTTCTCATTCGTAAATTATCGCATGCCAACGTCTCAAGATGTTGATCGTTGCAAGCCCGGCAGCAAACACAGCACTCTTAGTTCAAGGAGGCAGGTTGGAATGGCGAAACAGCGGCGTTCCTGCAGACTTTGATTATATCTGAATCGACGTGCGGGATCCTAGAGCCATCGTTGTTCTGTATTAGTGGTAGATTACCACTAGCCCGTTTCGGAGAGGATCTACAGAAGCGGACCTTAATAAGAAGCAAGCCCCTGAGTTCCTGTATGTATGAAGAACGGAGAGAGGGATAGAGTTAAGAGAAGGAACAGCGACTGAGTGATGATTCATTGCTACGTAGGAGACCTTTCCGAATCCTCGACCGTCGACACTGTATCCAAATTGACGGTGGATCTCCCAAATCAGTAGTCGGAAAGGACGTCATGACCACCACCTGTCGAGCTCTGTTTTGTTTTCGTCAGTTGGCTAGGTCCCGCGAAACCGAAATGGCCATACTTTGAATGTATATCAGCAATCACAAAGGAACGTCATTTTTCATTTTCCAGACTTGATACAGCTGCTAGAGTTGGGTGATGGAGGATTCGATCAGTCTGGCGGCGAAACTCCATAGGCAGGGGCTTAGGATGCAATTTGTCAGCTCTCCAGATCGGCCTTCCCTTGGTGTACGCTTGCATTGGCAAATAATCGTCCGTTTTTCGCCCAACAGCAGGTCTTCAGGCATCATGATTGTGGACGGACTTCTGGCTGCTGGCTCTATCAATAATTTAGAAACTAATAATGTCCGGTCGCAAAAGTACACGGAAAGAGTGCATTGATGTATGGAGGGGTGTACACTTGCGACTGTTATCAGGGATTTAAAGGCTGTTTTCCATTTGCGTTCAGTTGCAGGCGGTCTGGGTCTCCTCCACGCGCATTCAACTAAACCACCATATCCTCAACAATTCAGAACTCAGCTGCGATAAAATTGGCTTTGTCGGAGCAGAGTATTCTCATGGAGTGTCCACTTTGCGCTTTTATGTTTAATGATAAAGACGGAACCCTTCATCACAACTTCTCTCCTTCAATTGCATATGACGGCCACTCGATCCTATCTGACAAAGTGACAAATGGCTTTTGGCAGCGGCAGTGAGACATACGCGCCCTAAAATAAATGGATCTTGTGGAGGTCTGCCACCCCAAAAAAGGAGAAGAATTGATCGGAGAGCGATGTCTGGAGCTTCTTGCCAGAGGGCGGACTCTATGATGTCCATCGGCAACGACGAACAACCACGAACTTTTCTTCGAAAAAAGCCTCTGGGGATCTCTAACAGACAGATTGCAGGGTCTTTGCGAAGGCTTACATCAAGCTCATAGAGCCGGATAAACCGGTGAATCATCCATATCATGGCAGGGTGTCTTCTGCTGGCAAAATAATGTAGTTTAATCCAGAGGCGACGAAACCACCTTGGTGGTCATCTGGAATAATTCATCGTGATCCTGATCATCTACTCGAAGCCGGGATGGAGAAAGACTTTTTTGTATATACCATTGCTAATATCAAGCAGAACGTGTTCGAGTCCTTATCTCAATGCCTTGTGATCTGCACACATACATCTGGGTATGGTGGTTCTCTGCATGTCAACCTTTTTCCAGAAAGCTTTTTCTTAAAAGAAGAGCCTAGCTTTTTTTTTTTTTTTTTTTTTCTATTGTAGTCAACTGGTTGCTTCGTGAAGAGCATCGTCAGGTACTTGAAAGTCATTTTGGTCGAGAGAAGATCAACCCAAGTATAATTCACCTCCAGCGATATATCATTACACAGGCACCTTGGCGCAACAGCATCTATGATATTATCTGTCCTCAAGTCTTGTTCAATCAAGATGAAGTGTACCATATTCCCTCCAGTGACATGATGCTCCAAAGTGCTTTTTGCCCGTCCCATCAATTGGCCGAATTTGTCTTATTATTCATTGAGGCGGTTCATTAATACCATTCCCCCAAATATTTTTGCCTAAAGCGATACCATCTCCATACCAAACCGGCGGTTCATGGACGCAACCAGTGCGAGTTGCTTTGCAAGATCATCTGGGTTATTAGCCGCTTGCCTTGAGTCGTAGTTTCCTTTGCCGACGTACCACTCGCGACTGAGAGACATCTACGTGCCACGTACGAGCCCGATCAGGATGTCCAGGCGTGCGTACAATCGGAATATGTTCGCGTGTAACTTTATAGAATTAGAAGGCATTGGTGTCAGTGTTTCGCGAGCTAATGAGTACGCTGCTTGATGGTGACTGATCCTGTTCGCATAATCTCCGAGGTATTCCTGGTTTGGGAAGTTTATGAGTGAACATTCAAAGATAAGACCATCTTGCTTCAAAATATCTCCAGCGTTACTCGAACGAGGATTGTACATAATGTTGCCTCCGTATGTTGCTCCCCGGAGCGAAGAGCCTCGCCCTGCAAGACCAGAGCTTCATGATAACGATCAAAAATTTGCAGAGTTCTCCCTCCGGGCTGTGAAGTGTATGGTGGTATGCCGATAAGCACACTAGGGCATACAGTAATGGAGTATACCACAAAGCGAGATCCATTATACTGTGTCGGAAATAGAGGGCACTTGTAGACCTTAGGGAGAAGTGTTCGTGCGTAATAAAGGTTTGATAGAATTCCAGATAGAAAAGTAGAATTCCCGACAGGTGGCTCGACCTCAACAGGTCGAGTGTAGTGCGGCTAGTGTTGGCCCACTGCAAAAGTGTTCTTTTGGAAGTCCAATGCGATTCGGTCGGATGGGGAAGAAAGCTGAACTCCGGCGCCTGTTTGATGCTGTTCTTCAGCAAATGTTGTTCTTTGGGCACCCTACGAGAATTGGGACCAAGGTTGAGGCTACTGCATAGCGAGGACAACGAACAAATTGATCGAATACCGCTTGGTCCCTCATTGACCGTGATCTCATGGTGGCTGTCTTTGCATGTCGTTATCTTACGGGAAGAATCGATGCTTTGCGATCGTCGCCGAAAACTATGTGATTTGCTACTTTTTTTGGCAACGCCCGCAGGATGGATGGGTCTCATCACATTTGATGCGTCGATGGCGACAGTTGAGGCAACCGTTTTTCGTGCGTTTATACTACGTTTTACCTGTCAGGATCTGCTGGGTCTGTTGGCTAGACGAATAGGACTGTTACGGATATTCATAATTCCGAATATGATTGGCGCGAATGTTCGCAGCGAATAGAAAATTTATTCGCATTCGCATCCGTCATGCAAAATGTCTGCGGATACGAATGCGAATTCCGAATATTCGTTATTCTTGCCGACCCCTAAGGAACACACATGACCTTTAAGTCGTACCACTCACATGAAGTTTTTATAAGCAACCGATGAAATGCGTGATCGCACAAGGGGATGTGGGAAAATCACAACGTATTTCCCTACCGAGTGGGCCACCTAAGTATCCCGTGAGGTAGGGCCAGCTCTGGCACCTTCTCAGCCGCGTACGAGGGCAAAAACGAAGTGTAGTGTATGTGGAATCCAGGGTCATAGAATGACTACATGTCCTAATAGACCTCGACTTTAGCTCATTGAATTTAATGGCGTTTTGGTTGAGATAAATGCATTTAAAATGAATAGACCGCTGTAGGTGGCCCACGCGGTAGGGGTGGCACACTCGGTAGGGAAATACGTTATCGCCGGCAGTTTGGTGAGAAGACATCAAGAGGTGAGAAATAGATTTTGTCAAAATGGTGTCGACTAGGGCGCAGAGGGCCCACTTATTCAAATTGTTCTCAACGACAAGACAAGCCTGGATGAGAATCCGAAGATATCCAGATGTTTGGGATTACTGGTTCCCGAACCAGAATGTTGTTTACTAGAGGCGTGCGGAATACGTCGACGCTAGGTGACTCATAGCATACTCTCATGTAAGTTTGTTTCCCTCTCCATCATACTCGGACTACCTAAGCATTGGGGTCCGTAGACAATCCCAGAACTGACGTAGATGGAGAGCTGAGTGCAATTTGTCAATATAAGAGAGTCAATCCAACACCAGATCACGTATATTGCAATCAACCAAATTAAGCCTTAGACTAAAGACAGTTTTCCCTTCATGCTACCCAAGATAAGCTATTTTTGAAAGTGTCAGTTGTCCCACCTATGATAACCTATTTGTAAAAGTCGAAGTGATCACGCTTGATAGCGTCAGCACCCTTCTCGGCAATCATGTACACGGAATTCTGGATCCGGCAGTCAGGAATGACGGGGATGCAAGACGCATCGATCACACGGAGATTCTTGATGCCATGGACCCTGAGACCGGGGTCAACCACACCCTGCTGGATGTTCTTGGACAGACGGGCGGTACCGCAAGGGTGGAAAGAAGTCTGGGAGCGGTCGAGCACAGTTCGCCTCATGAGCTTATCGTCATGCAATGGCATGGGCCAGGGGTATTCGTCTTCGATGATATCTTTGAAGCCTTCGCCATTCTTGAGAACGTCGTAAGCGTAGCGGATGCCCTCGCGGATGGCGATGATGTCGAGATCGTTGTTGAAGTAGTTGAGATTGATGTTGGCCTGCTGCAAGGGATCATCGCTGTTCAGCGTGATCTCGCCACCCTCGGAGACAGGCCGAACGAGGTCAACCATGACGGTGATGTAGTTGCCTTTGCTTGGGGTCGGGTAGTGCCACTGGAATGCACTTCCGAACAGACAAACAAAATCGAGTTCGAAATGGGGCTGGCCGTATGGACAGAATGGGTCCTTGTTGTCGTTCGAGGCCTTGGCTTGACGATAAGTAGGATCCTTCTCCAAGTAGCTGTCAATTCGGGGGAACCCAACCATCTCGAGGAATCCAGAGCCCAGTGGACCACGGTGATTGGACTCATACGCTTTGATGGCCTGTTTGTTGTGTGGAGTGTCCTTCCGCAGGATGTAGTCGTCCATGCCGAAGCCGTCTTTCAGGCGAAGGACGAACGGAACACCGGGGTGATCCAAGAGATGCTGTCCAACGTGCGCATTGTCGACGATCATGGGGATTCCGTGCTTCTTGAGTTCCGCGGCGGGCCCGATGCCACTCAGCATGAGCAGCTTGGGAGTCTCGAAGACACCTTGCGAGACGATGACTTCACGGATCGCAAAAAGGTTGAGCTCCTGACCGGAAGTCAGGATGACAGTCACACCCTTGCAAGTCTTGTCCGCGGCATCGATGATCAGCCTCTTGGAGTGCGCTTGAGGAAGGATGGTGATATTTGGTTTATCGGCGACACAAAGGAAACTGCCCGAGCGCCGGCCCTTATAGATGGTGTTGACACTATGGGTCAGACCAGACATCTTTCCGTCGAAGATGTTCTCGGTGACGGGATGACCGGTAGACTTCCAAGCCTTGGTAAGCAGGTCTCTGAACGGCTTCATCTCGGGAATTAATTCCGAGTGGGAGATCGGAATCGGGCCACCTTGGCCAATCTTCTTCAGGTCTGGCGAATACGCCTTTTCGTCATCGTAGTAGGTAGCACTCTTCCGCAGGTAGGGCACCAGAGGGTCCCATGTCCACTCTTTTCCACCGTATTCCTCCCACATGTCAAACGTGCCCTTGGAACCCGGGGCCCAGGTGAAGTAGTTCAGGGAGGAACTTCCTCCAAGGACCTTCCCGCGAGTGTTGGGCTTCTCGACGCGCTCATAGTCATCTCGCTTGACCATGGTGGTTTTGAAGGACCAGTCATACTCGCTGTCCCGGAGCTCCATTGCATTCGACGGAACCCGGATGGGCTCAAGGTCTTTGGCATTTTCAACGCCAGCTTCCACGACCAGAATCTTGGCTTTGGGATTCTCAGCCAGACGACCAGCAACTACGTTACCGGCCGTGCCTCCACCCACGACAATGAAGTCGAACCTAGCATTGTCCTGGATCGGCATGTTGGAGTTCAAGGATGAAATATTTATTTCAATTGAGAAGAGAAGTGTGAAATGATTGTAGAGAATGAAGAGCTTGTTTCCAGGGCGACTTCCGAGGATTTAATGCTACTGGTGGATTGGGATTTCCGAATGTTACCATGTAGAACCAACACCTGGATTTTGGTTTGTGTCATTGACTTGAAAAGACGAGGTGGTGGATGAGTGCATCGTTCCACAAAAATGCTCTGTTCATTTCTTATTGGTGTCATAGTCCTCCCCAATACAGGGCAGGTGGCGTCTACGGGGCATTGATTTGCATCCCTTGACCCCTCATCCCGACGACGGGGAATGAAGGTGATGTCATATCTTGATTGGCCGAGGGGGAGAGAAAGCTAAGCTCATGGGCCGCGACCGAGAGAGCTCCGGGTGAGACCGAAGTGGCCAAAACCACGCACTCTGTGATCGTAGCACTCACGGAGGCAGAAATCCATCAATCTACCCTGTGGAAATTCTTGGCTTGGAACATGTTCAATTACTGCTATGTGTGTCCGCAACGCCATTCAAAACTCAATTGAATTTGCACTCGAAATGGTAGGTGAATGGTCGGTGAACAATCGGCTGGAACGTAAGTGTGCACTTGCAGGGAACCGTTGACATGAAGCTGCGGGCCTGTCCAGAAGAAGCCGGAACCGCAATGCCCTGGATCTAGAACCAAAAGCCAAAGGTTAAAGTTCCCGCTGTCAATCCCTACGCGGCAATGATGATCTGCGTCTTTTGTTTGCGACTGGATTGGGAAATACCATTCAGCCAATCAGAGGCTCGCTTTCCTACTACCCTGTTCGGTATTACTCCTAAACTCAGTAGATACCGATTTAATCATTGCGTCACCTTGTGCGGAGAAATGCGACGAGAGCTGAGATCAATAGAGATGTCATCGTGTTTGGAGATCCAATGAATGTGTCCGTAATATTAATAGTGAGAGCCAATCCCATGCCATTTGATTTCAATTTCCTCCGTGTATCATTCTGGTGTATTTCCATCTAGCTCCAATCAATTCCTCCTACCCAGCCATTCCACATTGACCATGGGCGACAAAAGATACTACACTTTGGCCGAAGGTATCCGGGCTTGCCGCAATTCGCGTGACGATCTATTTCTGACTATGTATAGGCTGCCCTTATGCCAGCAACAACACGGCGGTTTTGATGAAAGGGAAGCAGGGTGGTGGGCTCGCTCTGCTCCAAGACACACAGCTCATCGAGACATTGGCCCATTTCTCTCGCGAAAGAATTCCTGAGCGGTAAATCCATCTTATCCCGGGGTGATCAGAGCCAACATATACTAACGGTTCACTTCGACAACAGGGTCGTCCACGCCAAAGCTATCGGGTACGTTGGAAAACCCCTTCCCGGAAGAACTCGCGGTTGACTGTCCAGATCCTATGGAGAATTCGAAGTCACTCAAGATTGCACCGATTTCACCAGTGCCAGCTTTCTCAACAAAGTTGGGAAGAAGACCCCCGTTCTCCAGCGCGTTTCAACCGTCGGACCCGAGTCGGGATCCGCGGATACCTCTCGCGATGTGCATGGGGGGGCCATGAAGTTCTACACGGACGAGGGAAACCTCGACTGGGTGTTTAACAACACGGTACGCGTAGAGGATGTTTGGAAAACTCTTGGTTCTTCTTCTAACATTCTTCCCTACAGCCCGTCTTTTTCATTCGAGATCCGATCAAATTCCCGTCAATGAACAGATCCCACAAGCGGCACCCTCGAAGTCATCTTCCCGACCCGAATATGGCAAGTCGTCAATTTCCCACACGGAATGATTAGTTCTAACTAGAGCAACAGTTCTGGGAGTAGGTTACATATTCTGTTTTGGGGCTCCCCAAAGGGAAAAAAATCTCACTGCAAATCTAACTGAATATAGTTTCCACGTTGGCAATCCCGAAGGCATCCACCAGCTCCTGGTTCTCTTTAGCGACCGTGGCACCCCAAGATCGGTTCGCTACATGAACTCGTACAGTGGCCACACGTACCGATTCACCAAGCCGGTAATTCATGCCGCTACGGAGTACCCAGACGCCGCGCTAACCAGACTGTCAGGATGGAACGTTCAAATATGCCAAAATCCACGTCAAATCAGAGCAAGGAATCGAGAATTTCGATCGTGAGGAGGCCACGCGGCTCGCCGGCGAGAACCCAGACTATATGATCCAGGACATGTTTGAGGCTATTGAACGAGGCGACTATCCAGCGTGGAAAGTGTACGTGCAGCTGATGAGTCCCGAGGAAGCAGAGAAATACCGGTGGAACATCTTCGATATGACCAAGGTCTGGCCGCATCGGGATTTTCCTTTACGGGAAATTGGGCGTCTCACGATGAACCGAAACGTATGTGACCCTGACTGATTTCTCTTTGGAATCGTGGAGCTAACCTAAACTAGCCAAATAACTACTTTACGGATATCGAGCAAGCTGCATTTTCCCCTTCGACCATGGTCCCCGGCTTTGCTGTGTCGGCTGACCCAGGTATCCCTCCCTTTCTTTCTGCCTTCTTTTTTCAGTCACTCTGATAACTCATGTTCAATCTAGTCCTTCAAGCGCGACTATTCGCCTACCCCGATGCTGCCCGCTACCGACTCGGCGTGAACTACCAGCAAATTCCTACCAACGCCGCCAAGGTGCAGGTGTACTGCCCTTTCGAGCGGGATGGTGCGATGAGAATGGACGGCAATTACGGCGGCGATCCTAACTACGTTGGATCCTCGATTCAGCCCACCACCTTCTACCAAGACGTGAAGAAGACAACCCCCCAGGCACTGAACCTCAGTGGTGAACATGAAAAGTGGGTGGGAGAGGTCTCGGCATTCACCAGTCACATCGTCGACGATGACTTTGTTCAGCCGGCAGAGTTATGGGAGGTCATCGGAAGGGACCCTGGTCACCAAGAAAGGGTGATCGAAAACCTCGTAGGCAGTCTGATCAGGGTGAGATATCCCGAACTACGCAAGGCTGTCTACAGTGCGTACCCATTCCGCTATGACTCATTTGCTTCATAAACTAATGCGAGACGCAGGCCTTTTCAGTCGCGTCAACCAGGATCTGGGGTCGAAAGTGCAAAAGCGCACCGAGGAAGAGATCAAGGCCATGTAGAAAGGTCTGTTTGGACTTTTTTCTCTTCCTTCAGTAGGCTAGTATATTTTCAAATCTTCTTTCTAGGTGACCAGAATGCCAAGGCAATCCTTTTTGTCTAATGTTTTGCTTTTAGCATACATGTTTAGGACTTGGAATCATATTGCCGTCGGTTGATCTCCACCAACTCAGGCCTGTGCATATAATCAGTCTCCAGGTAGATAGAATAGAAGATTCACGAGTCTGCCGTGGCGCAAGCCAATACTAAGCCCAGTTCGGTCCACAAATCAGCTCTTGTTATTCTCATTCTGCATAGAGCGACCCCATCTTGTGATCTGCGTCGCCTCAGCCTGTGATCGCCTGCGGCTTGCAGGGCTTACGTTATCGATGCCTCAGGCAGAGAGGCACTTGCCAACACACTCGGGCAATTGAAAGGCTCTCGCTTGCCGGCGCATTATGTAATTTTAGTCTACTCTACCGCCTGTAGGTCTAGCGAATAACAACCATGCGATCCTATTAGTATCTCAAACCACATTGGGATACCACAATTATTTCTATCTAGTATCGCACAGCACAAACTTATCGCACAAGTGACCATGTCCCCTCCGAATTCTAGCTTCTCTAAAGTGTTACCGCAGTACACATTTGTCGCTCAAAATGTTCAATCAGAGGCTCGAAGTCATGCGATGAAAGAGCACTGGAAACGACGACACCAGTGCAAACATGAGGCAAAATTACATCACCGGAACCAATCCTCTCGGACCCTGCTTCCGAGATCAGAATCTTCCTCTAGTGGGAAAAATTCACCAACCGTGAGAGCGAGTAGCTCTTCGGGCTTAGAACCGGATAGGGACGAAGCTGAGATGGAGAACCAAGCAACTCAATCGGGCATTCCTTCCCAGCTGCTCAGTGGCTTGAGCCATGCACTGTCAAGCGCAAGACCTGACCCATTTCAAACTTGTCCAATTCATCTGACCGGCCAGCATCAGAAGCTTCTCCACCACTGTGCGTGGACAGCCCGGAGATTCAAGTTACCGTCAATTAGCGTATTTGGCTGACGAGACTCTAGGGATTGGCGCCCATGCCGCCATGATGTTCGAGGATCTGGATGTCACAGGGTTCAACCCAATGAGAGATGTTTGGTTCCCTTTAGACCTTTCGAATGCTTCTTCCTTCAACTGCATCATGGCGCATTCGGCTGCGCATTTATCTCATTTATACGCGGGTATTCCCCCGTGCCGAGGAACAGGCTCTTTTGATGCTCTCAACTATAAGCTTGAAGCTGTCAGAATTCTACGGCTTTGGCTGAACGATCCTGAGAAAAAACTTAGTGAGGACGCTTTTTCTGCCGTTGTTCGGCTGCTCACATTCGAGGTGGGTTTTCATACCGGGAATCTGATTTCATTGACTAATCAGCTTTCCCAGCGGTACTGGGGTACAGTGGAAAACTGGAAGATTCACCGCGATGGTCTCCAGGGAATGATTGATGCCAAGGGTGGAGTACAATCTCTTTATAATAACTGGCGCCTAGAACTTGTGATCTACCTGTTTGTAACCCAGGGAAAAGATTAATCGACCAATGCATGGTACTAACTAACTCTTAGCGTCTCGCTGATGTCACAACCATCATGGCTCGAACCCACCAACAATCTTAAACAAATCTCTCGCCCACCTTTGTCTCCTATTTTTCAGCAGCAGAACTCATCTGTGGATATTCATCAAGTTCGCTGCCTTTGGTTAATATCGTTCATCCAGGATATGAGGACTTTCATGGGATCTTTCCGCACCAGGAAGCTTTCTCCCTTCCTATTCACCCATGCCGCGGTAGGACTTTTACGTCGAGACTTTCAAAATTCTCTTGAGACCCGATTCAAAGAATCTTGCGTCACGCCACGGGAAAGCGAACTTTTGATATGTTTGTTTTCCATCAGCGTACTGGTACAAGAGTTAATTTCCACTTTTCCAGAAGGTGACTGCACCGTGTCTGTGTACCCTACCGGACTGGACGCATTGGAAGCTCTCCTGGCAGTATCACATCACAGATGGGGGAATTCGGTACACGAGCTGCACTCGATTTTATATGGAAGTCAGACCAGCCTTTTTGAGGAGGAACCCCAAAAAATGGATTACGCGATCAATCTTGTGCAGGTCCTTCGCACATTAAGCTTGGAAGCACGCCAGGGAGTTGAAAGATGTCTCCTGAACCTCCTCTACCAGATCGGGAACAACAAAGAATCGGTTCTCATGGATGATGGGTGGTCACCAGACTCACTCCTGTCGTCAATTCACGGCCATTAGACAGTGTGTGTTGACAAATTATATCAACCATCGATCCGTGACATACATCCGTCATGGACGCAGCCAAGTGAGACCATATCCTAGTAGTGACCAGTATCCATACATGTGTACGGTGCGTCGGAATGAAGTCTTAAAGCAGTCTCGAAACATCGAAGCACATGTATCTACATCAGACCTCCGTAGGTCCTGCCCTCTTCTTCCAGTTTCTCGTCCTCCTGGATGTATTTCTTGAAGCCAGCTTCGTCCTTCTTCAACTCGGAGCGTAGCCCACCCTCGTGCGGGGACTTGTCATTGGCCTGGTCCTCCTTCCCATTTTTATGATGGTGGTGGTCGAGGATTTTTTCTAGCAAATTTTCCTTGTGCTTGTTAGGCTCCTGGGTATCTATCATCAACCAATCATTAATTGAGTTTGCAGGCAAAAGCGGTGGTCCCAAACCTTCGGGCATATTGAATAGGTCCTAGGATGGGAAATGAGGTGGGCTTGCGTTGTGTAGGGATGGAGAATAACCAAGTAGACCAGTTTGTGCCGCTCCATATTGTGCGATAGAATTCTAGATCTTAAGTACTTCATAGTTTACTGCATGGACTGCGGAGATAAGTGGAATGACGTTGTTGATCTGAAGTACGTCCGAAGCCAGTAGTACTAATGGGCCAATCATAGGCTTTGGTGGTCTGATGGTGACTAATTGTTGGATTCATTTGTAACATTTTGCATGAAACCAGTGATTGAAAGTGGAAGATATCCCGCATTTTGAGCAAATAAACTCGCCAAAATAGAAATATTCTGATAACTGTGATGCCATGCAGAAGCGAGGTAGGCATACGATTAATGCAGACCCACAGCCTAAGACTGTCTGTAAGATACAAGCTGGCGAGAAATACTGCCTTGGGCAAGGTCATATAAAGCCGTATTTGCCAAGAACTTGCTTATCTGCCCTGTTTACTTAATCTATGAGTCGATCAACGGGGAGACGACTCGATGATGTCACGAGTCCAGATCTGACATGTCAATCCGGTAGTGGTATTGGCCAATCAGAGCCATTCAAGCAATGGCCTTCCATCCGACCCAGCGTTCCGACCCAGCGTCTGGACATTGAGAGCTACCGGGGCAATTCTTGCTTATAGAAATTTCAAAACATCCACACGAACAATGAGTGCCATAACAACTGCAAGCACTCGGCCCGTGACATCGCCCATCACACGACATGCAACCTTCCTCGTCCTGACAGTCACATCCCCCTCCGCAATTTTAACTATCCGCTCAATGCTCGCCAACGTCTCCAGACTCACCAAAAACGTGTCCTTCCGTGATGACGACGCCAAATTTGCCTGTACCGTGGGCATTGGCGCCTCAATCTGGAACAGCTTGACAAACACTCCCACGTCCTACGGAGCTACACCCCTTCCACGAAGTCAAGGGCGCCAAACACACTGCTATCTCAACGCCGGGCGATCTTCTCTTCCACATGCGCTCCGAACGCCGCGATCTCTGCTTTGAGTTCGAGCGGAAGCTCATGGATAGTTTTGGTGATGCGGTACATCTCGAAGACGAGACCACCGGATTCCGCTATTTCGACGCGCGCGATCTTCTCGGTTTCGTCGATGGTACTGCGAACCCCGTCAGTCCCGATGTCCCAACCTCCGTCCTTGTCGCGACCGAAGACGACAATGCGCACGCACAAGGGGGTAGCTACGTCGTCGTTCAGAAACACGTCAACGATCTGCCTGGGTGGAAACGCATCGGAACAGAACAACAAGAACAGATTATCGGGCGCACAAAGCCCGATAATATTGAACTCGATGACGCCGAGGACGGAAAGCAGGCGTCTCACAAAATACTCGGTACCATTGAAGATCAGGAGGGTAACGAGCACGATATCTTACGTGATAACATGCCGGTTGGATCTCCGGCGTCCGGCGAGTCCGGACTTACTGTATTGGGTAGACACGGAGGCTGTGGGTTATTGAGAAAATGCTCGAGCGGATGTTTGTGGACATCCGCCTGGGCTACATGATCGATTGCTTTGCTTTTGGAAGCCGTTGACTGGCTCTGTTTTCTTTGCGCCGTCGGCGGATGTCCTGGATGGCCTTGATGGACGATGAGGGCGGAACTGGCAGCTAATGAAGCCTTGAGACTGCATGTAACTCATCATCCTCGGTTCATTTGCATACCTTGTAGCTATGTGTTCGTGAAAATTCTTTGAAAGAATCTAACTGAGCAAGAACAACGCTTGAAGTACTAATGCTGGAAATGGTCACTTCGCAACGCAGTCTTGATACATATCAAGCGAACAGAGTCAAAAGACAGAAACGAAGATGACGCAATGAAATCGAAATATGTAGTGGACCAGGATCACCTCTGAAGATAGCGAAGAGATTAATGCCGTAAGTCATTCATCACAAGCCGACACTCGGAGCTGACTTGTCGCCTGCACCTCGAGCTGCTTGGCCTCCTCCCATTGGCCCTCCTGCCAGTATGCCGTTGCCAACCTTAGCCTTCAACAAGGATCACCATGGCAAAAGGCGAGCAGATCATGACCCTCCCCATCAATCACTAAACCCACTTCTACTGTGAGATTTTAGTTCAAGCTTATTTTTCAGTCTTATTTCATGATTTCCGATTCTTTTCGTTGTCAGTCTCATCAAATAAGTGGGAGAGGCTCGCATAATGTAGACTGCAAGCGCGACACGGGATCTTGGTACCGAACGGCCCGCGGCGCCATTCTGGGGTTTCGACCCTCGAACAACTGTGACAGTGTGTATGAGTTATCTGGATTGTGAGCCAAGATTAGGCTCGAGCGACTTGATATGGATATTTTCCGACATACCCAGTGCGGTTGCTGCAGGGGTTTCTGCGCAGGGTTTTGTCTACCTTTGGAGTTTCCTCCAGCAGGCTGCCAGGTTGTGGGATTGGCCACAGTTCGACCTTTTGAAGAGACAATAGCGCCGGAAGATTTGCCAAGTAGGCCGTTACTCGACGATCTATCAATTCGCGAATTTGTTAGGCCATTCGAATGAATCGCAGGCATCGTGTGCACATTGGTTGGCGTGAATACGGCGCAATATATGTCTGGCAAGATGCATATGTCAAACAAGTATCTTAAGCTAGGATCGCTTTCTTTCTTGCATTTTTATCTTCAAAAATTAAGCAAGAAAACACTTTCTCCTGGTAAGAAAATTCTTAACCCGTTCCATACTAACCTTGTCGTTTAGGAAATCTCAACGCCATTTACTGCAGGCCAAAGGCATGGATTTCAAAAGGTGGTAAATTGGGCCGCGCTGCAGTAGCCTATGGAATCGACTGAAGTCGTCAGAAAAAGCGGTAATCTGTTGGAGATATAAGCTTACGGTGCACAAGATGAGATTGTTTGACAATACCAAATACTTATTGTAATTTGTCAAACATAAAAATGGGTGGCCTATTCCATGGTTCGCCGCGGGAAGTAAAGAGGAATCAGTTCTTGACTCTAACTCTACATTGACTTTCGTTTTAAGTAGAAAGGGTGTTAACGGAGAGCGGAGAACAGCGGAGAATGACTTCCGCAGAGTGCAAGAAAAGGCAAGATAGCTCGGAGGTGACCCGCCCACTCTCGGTGACGCATTGAGGGTGATTATAGACACGATGCCGGTTTTCCGACGAGCTGGTCAGGTTTAATGCCATTTTCTAATTACAGACGAGACGAACACGCATGCTCTCTACGAAGAAAAATAGTGCACGGCGTTGGAAACGGCTCAGGAGCAAAAAATACCAGTTCAACATGAGGCAGTGGATAATCAGAAAGCTGAATTTGTCGTTTTCGGTGAAAGGAAGTAGCAAAGTAGCAATGAAACTCTTGCAGAACAGAACAGGGACTCATTTGCAGCGAATATGTGCAATTTGGAGAAACCACAACGGAAGGCTATCGATCACACACTACCCAGAAAGTATATTAAAATAGAATCTATAAAGAATGGTCAATAGTTCGCGAGTGGTGATTGCGACAAACATCTGCACCGGCGTCGGATCAAGAATATCATGGACGTCAATCAGTCCGCCCGGGCGTTCTCGCGGAATCCGGAATTTCATGAACGAACCAAACATCCCAATGCAAAATTCCACCATCAGCGCACTGTGCTAAATAAGATGGAAATCGGCCTTCGATATGTGGCCCACAGTAGAACGATTGAACGTGAAAGACATTCACTAGTGATCAGTCATGGTCCTGGAAGGAAAGTATAGTATTTCTTTACTTGAATTTGCGGTTTGGATAGTGGGCCAGATCATAACGCGGATCCATGATTCGGCCGACGGGGCTAGTTCGGCTTTGCCTAGGGCGTCTTTTCAGCGTTGGCTTTCGGTGAGTCGGAAATGCCCCTCTCGTACGACTCGCCTTTATTGGCACAAACCAAGCCTGGGTTACTCCGTAATACTGTTCTATTTCCCACAAGGGTCGAGTTAAAAGCCTTTTGCCAATTTCGACCGATCAATTTTCCTATAAATTTCAGTCCGATATGAGCTGTGTCGATTCCCCTGCGTTTGTAGATATAATATAGCGTTGGAATAGGCACGAAGCCTCGTGGATTATTGATTTTATTCTGCTAACGTTCTCTCTCAACTATTGGCTGCTACAATTTGGAGACATACTAAATTCCGGCAAAAGACGAAATATTCTAGTTTTCTGGCCCGGCAGATCTTTCTCGGTCTCCGAGCTGTCCTACGTCCTACCTTAATTCAAGAAAACTAAGACGATCGGCGACATTCACTATCAGAGACGTTTCTCCCTTGCAGCTCTAGTAAGCCGATCCAAACATTTCGCCAAATTATTAGATTCTCATTTTGCTTGCTTACCTACAGGAACCACTTGTTCCGATTTGAGTTGCTGGGCTCTCAACTCCACATGAGGCGAGGCTTAGTGTTGACGCAGCGTGCATTTAGAGGCCCGGAGTTCACCGTAAATGTATCATCCCAATAGGAATTGAAATTTCCTGTTTACGTGCACAGCTTTTATTTTTATTGGCGGGTCAAACGAGTTCGTCGAAGATTTTCCCGACTAATCTCCGGAGATAATGGAGCCCAGAGTAGACTTGTTCCAAGCGACCATGAAATCTGACTCGCGCAGGGCACTTTAATCCACTTAGATTTCGCTGGCTGGATTCGCACATCTGAGGCCTTTCGCGCTTATCTTTAGCCTAGGTATAAAATGTTCAGGTGGCCGCGATATTCTCTTCTACTAAAATGGCAGGATAGCAGAGGAATATGAGAAGGTTACCTGAGATATTTGTCATATTTGACCACTCGAGACAGAACGACTGCAGTTGATAACTTTTATCTACAATAGTTGGTCTGGACCACTAGATTCGGTTTGCTCAAGCCCACATTTCCGGTCCTCTCCCTCGTGACCCCTGAGCTAGCTCGTAATCGTATGTATGTCAAATTATACCACAGGGGACTTGAATGCAGGATACTGCTTTATGGCCGAGATGGTTTACTCCGGGCTCCCTAATTACCCTTCTTCTTCTCGGCACGGGTTGCTTATCGCTTTTAATCTGCCGCTTGACCTTCTGTCAGAAGGTATGCGTCCCGAGAACTGCATTCAACCAGACCACGGTTGCACTGATCTGACGTGCGAAATACGTACGAGACTGATCTACGATGTTCCTGTACTGTTCTATATAGATGATCCTTGCTAAAATCCTTGCTAAAACCTTCGAAGTCCGGATCTGACTCCGAAAGACCAGCATCGTGTCGCTCTCCTCGCTACTAGGCACAGTAGGCCGCGCCATTTTAATGACAGAAGCTATGTAGATTCCCGCCCGTTGTGCCTGCAGAGTTGAGTCAGTAACTCGGTTTGTTGTAACATCCATCATCTGCTGCTACATAATCGTCCACGACGGAGGCATCGGCATGGCCCGCGTCAATACCGGTGTTGGGATTCGATTTGTATATGTAAGGCTTTGTTTGAAGAGGATAGCTATGAAGATCTTACCCTTCTGGAATATGTATGGTCATTTGGGTCTGTGACAGTCCAGGGCTTGGGAGCAGTGCAAACAGTTGATTGGTCAGAAAGTAACAAAGGTTGATCACTGAAGACGTGGAAAATGGGGGAATTGGCCTCCTGAGGTCTTGAGTGGGTATAGAAGAGAGGAATTTGTGTTGACTCTCAATCTTCTTCTCTTTTCTCCCCATCCTCTTCGTATCAAAGGACCGATTTTTCAGTCGAATCGAAAGGAATTTGCCTCCTCACGAGGTCTTTCACACAGGAAGTGTACGACTGAGGAAACACTGCGAACGCCACCGGAGGCGACGTCGTGTAGCGGTTACTGACCTCTATGCAGCTCCACGGCGAGTTCGAGTCCATACCACGAGTATTGGAGGAAAGTTCCAGAATGCTAGGTCTGATCTTACTCGCAGGGGCATCATCGATCGATGCGCCCTGCATGACTTCATCGTGAACGAGGGATGGAGATAGAGTCAGAGTTGGTACTGCTCGAGTGAGCAGACAGTACAGCCAATAAATAGCGATTAAGTTGCTTTTCAATATGCACGCTCTGTGCCCGCAGCATGCGGTCACGTTCTCGCTATCTCGCTAGTCGATTTCTGCGTATATGTCTTCCTTCTCGACAATTTCTTTCGTAATGCGTAAAGGTTTACCGGTGCACCTCGTATGTACCTCCTAAACTCAATTGGCAGAATTCAGTGGCGCATCCAAGCTGCGGTCCTTGCGCCGCGAGGCAGCGATGAAGTCTCTAGATGTGGTGAGATATAACAGTATAATGGGTAAGACTGGGCTCAGGGCCCAAAGTATATGAACGTTTGAGGATTGTTTAACGTCTATATAGAGCATGGCACAGGGCGAAAAATAACAGAAAATGGAAGCGATATCTGAATTTAGCTGGATGAAAAAATAGAGAAAGAAAATGAGTTTGCTAGCTCGGAAATAGGGCCCCAAGGTAGAGGGACCGAGGAAGTATATAATGGGACAATGTGTCGCGGGGTGATATGGATCATGCGGGCAGCAGACCATTGATTTGGCCTTCAAAAATTGAATTTGAAGGCGCCCCATGCAACTCCCTCGCTACGAATGGAGATAGGATGTGGTGTAAATATTTTAGTGCTTCGGACTTGGATATCTCGCGCAGCTCATGCAGGGTGCAGGTATTGTGCCGTAGGTGTCTAGCACTTCAAAACCGTGTGGAATCGTCATGGAGTGCTTCAAAAAAGCGACCTAGTGCCGGGTGCTGGTCTATTTCATTGAAAAATATGGAAACAAGGGACAGTAATCGAACGGGCGTAGGGCTTGAGTATTCATCTCAAATGTGCATTGACGTTCTCTCCACCACAGACTGTACCTTTTAAAACGCCCACATTGTTCAGCCATATACGTCTACCCCCTTCTCCGAATCGAACGCATCCTGGACGGTTCAGAATACCCCACTACGGTGCCTTTCGGTTGTACTTTTTGGCCTTGTCTTCATCTAAAGTACATATGAATGAGTAAGTGGCGATTATATCCACAGAAAAATGAAATCCGTGAGTTTCATGTTCGTGTCACAACTCGGCATACAAAAAAAAAAAAAAAGTCGTTGTTTGATTAATATATATCCTTTCATATACATCCTTTCAGTGACAAGATGCCTGAACCAGTACGCATTGGGCTCAGACTATCGAGCTTTTTCAACAGATCATCAACCGATTGGTTCTATGATTCATCAGTCAGAATGAAAACGCATGGGAGGGTTACAAATGGAATATAACTTACACTGGCCACGGCTTCAGCATCCTGTAGAGTAAATCGTATGATGTGGTTGACGGATTCAGGGTCAGATAGTAGGCCATCGATCCATCCGTCTACGGCCCTCACATCCCATTGGCCACGGGCCAGACGTAGGGATGGCTTGTGGTCGGCAATTTTCCTTATCATGCGTTCAATCGCCGTAGTAGTATGGTCATATCCACGGTGTGCAAGCAGACAACGTAGCGTACTTGGTATGATGTACCGCGAAGTGAAATATATGACAACGATAATCTCTTCGAGTGACCAAGACCACT